GTGTATACAGTAGATGTATATGTACAGTAGCCTAGGTGTATATAGTATTGTATATAGTATTGTATACAGTAGATGTATATGTACAGTAGGTACTCACCTCAGCAGGGATCTGTCTATCCTCACGTACTATTGTCTGATACCTGTCCATGTAAGGTTGTAGTCGATTGTTTACCTCTCTCACTTCCTCCAATACTTCGGCCACTACAGAGATGTTTGGGCGGCTACAGGTTAAACAAATGATAATATAAACACAGGGCATGTAGCTAATTGATGTTCTTGTAACTACAAACGCATCCATACATTATAAAGAGACTTAACATGAACTGATGTTTTTGGTGTGATTTTCAACAAAGGCTTTCATTACATTAAAACAATACCTTTACTCACTTTTTTGAGTTGTTGATAAAACCCTTGCTTTTTACAGAAAGACAATGGTATCATACAATACACATAACAGCCAATTAACAGTTATAAACTGTACAATCACACAGAATGTATTTAAGCACAGAAAGTATCCCCCGAGGAGTGAGATAGAAATCATACTCCAATTGTAGCCATTAACAATAAACTGGCAGATTTCTACATTGACATTAATCTAAACTCCCTTTCAAGTCTGAAGGTATGTAGCCTTACACTGGTCCTCTCCTTGGCGTATCTGAAGACCTGCTGTCAGACGATTGACCACTACTGTTTTCTGTCGATGAATTTGATTGGCTGTCACTGGATGCAGTGGTAGTTTGGGGCTCTGTTCTACTGGCCGCCGGTGTTTGTGCTGCTGGTTGTGAAGGTGTTTCTGACTGCACAGGAGCCTGTGATTGGCTGGGTTCTGCAGTATCTGTGGGAGTGGTCTGTTGTGTAGCTTGTGCTTGGTTTGATTCAGAGACATCCATTGGAGAATCTCCAGCTTCTTGTTCTCTATCTGTCTGCTGCTGCTGCTGCTGCTGGCTGTCAGCTGAAGGCTGCCCAAGTCTCTGTATAGATATAACAGTACATGTACTGAGGGTATCTTATAGTCAGGTATAACAGTATATCATACAGACAGGTGCACCAGTATATCATACAGTCTGGTATAACAGTATATCATACAGACAGGTGTACCAGTACATCATACTTACAGTATATCATACAGACAGGTATACCAGTACATCATACTTACAGTATATCATACAGACAGGTGTACCAGT